AAAAAAAAAAAAAAAAAAAAAAAAAAAAAAAAAAGTGGGGGACTGAGGATAACTCATCAACAATAAATTAACTCGATAGGTTTGACTAACCCCCTGACCCCTATGCCTGGGAGAACAGCCTGGACTTAAGGGCTTTCTGAAAAACTAGCAGGGAAGGGACCAGTATAATCTTGGGTGGGATGGTATTCCTAGGAGCAGGCAGAGTGAAAGAAAAGGCCCACTGGGTCCCATTAGATCACACTCTTTCAGAGATGGGACCCAGAGCATGTCCTTCATGACAGTCCTGATGGGATGGGTAGAGACAGCTGGAGAAAGATGGACCCTCAAATATCCCAGCCCCATGCTATGAAGTCTGTATAGGTGACAACCAGCATCTTGAATTGCACCTGGAAGCCCTTTGGGAACCTGTGCAGCACACAAAACAATGGTATAACATGGGTATACAAAGGCATGTACATAATCACTCGTGCTGTTACATTCTGGATTGCAGCTTCCACATGTTCTTCAAGGGTAGCCCCATGTAGAGTGCATTGCAGTGCCCTGATCCAAAAAGGAGCACAACTGGCACACAACCCAAGGTTATTCAAAACCCTCCTGGCCACGGCTGCCACCTACTCCTTGGGCAACAGCCATGACTTCAGGAGGACCTCCAAATTGCGCACCAGGTCTGTCCTAGTAGTGAAACCCCATCTGAAGTAAAGGTGAAAAATCACTGGATCCAGGAAGTCCTAAAACACAAAGCCACTCCATCTCGCTAAGGTTGAACTAAGCTGGTTCTTCCCCATCCAGACCCTAGCTGCCTCCAAGCACTGACAGAATTTCCAGAGCATCACTTGGTCAACCTAGAGCAGAGATGCACTACTGAGTATTATCAGCATGGGACTCTGTGCCATCAAATGACCTCATCCAGTGGTTTCATGTAGATTAAATAGGAGTGGGGAGAGTACCCTGAAGCACCCCAAGCACAGTGGGCATGAGCAAAACCTCTCCCCTATCACTGACTGAAACTGATCTGGAGGAAGGAGAACCAATGCAAGACTGTTTTCCCTAGACCACCCAGAGCTGGTCCAGAAGGATATCATGACTGATGATATTGAAAGCTGCTGAAAGGTCAAGAAGAACAAGGATGAATGCACTATTCACAAGCTCAGTCAGTGCTGTTTTGGTCCCATGTCTAGGCCTGAAATCTTACAGAAAGGGGTCCAGATAATATATTTCCTCTAGTGTTCTCTGAAGCTGCAGCACAATAATCTTCTCAACAACCTGGTTAGAGACCTGGTGGATTGTGGGGTCTAGTGATGGTTTCTTGAGGAAGGGACAAACCTTCTTAAGCATCAGCAGGACCATCTCCTCCCTTAACAATGCACTCACCACTACCAGAGCCCACCCACATGTCCCTTCCTGGGAAGCCTTTCTAACCAGGAGAGGCATGGACCTAACACACAGGTGACTAAGCTCATGGCCCTGAGAACCCATATAATATCACAAGGATGAGCTTTGGTGAATTCCATAGGAGCTGCTTCAAAGCCAGAGTCCAGCTTACAACGGATCTGAGTAACGTTATCCAATAGTTACCTAAAGTATTCTTCACAGCAGCTCTGTAAATGAGTCTCCTGAGAAGGGACTGGGTCAGCCAGCACAGGGCCACAGGGCAGCTAACTGCAGACACAATAAGACTGGAAAAATCTTGAAGTCTTGAAAACTCTTACTCCCATGCATAGGCAGTATTACAGGGGCTCTAGTTCATGCTCAGTTGGGTTTATTCCTTGTTGACCTCCAGCAGCACTCTCAGCATCTCTTAAGATCAGGTTTTTCCACATGTTTAGGAAATGCTCCAAGGATAACTTTTGAATGCATGGCAGGAAAGAAGCCAACTAGTGGTCATACAAATAGATCTGAAAGAAGTGTGCTATTCAAGTAGTAAGAGTTTCTGCTAGTATTTGAATGGGCGTTTTGGTAGATTTCTTTTACAGGTGCCTACAGTGAAGTCATTTAAGTATGGGATAAAGTGAGGGAATGATACACTCAATGTTGACTGTTCCAAGTTTCTCTCCCTTTGGTAGACATAAATACTCCTTGTTGGTTGGTTGTTTTGTTCCAGGTACGGGTATTCACCTTTTCTGTTGGACAGCATAACTATGATGTCACTCCCCTGCAGTGGATGGCTTGTGCTAACAAAGGTAGGGTGGAGTGCTCAAAGGCAAAATTGCCTCCTCTTACTATACTGTATAAAGTGGGGGGAGTGGGACATACCCTCTGATGGCCAAAAGTTAGCTTGCTATTTTCCAGAGATTGGAGTGGGCACCTTGTCCCTTTTCACTAGGGTCACAGCTATTATTCTGTGTTTTGGTGATGGGAACTGAATTCCCAATACATCTGGACAGCATTTGGAGGGAAAAGCTGATATAAATTAGCTCTAGATTGACAGAAGGGGGCATGCTGGATGGGGCTCAAGGTAGCTTCCTCATCTAACATGAAATTAATCTAAATGATTAATGCATGGCTGCTTATCTTTTTGCCAGATAAATTTACCTATCATAAAGTTGTTGAGTTGAAAGGGGCCATAAAGATCATATAACCCAACCCTCTGTACTGTATAGGAAGATCAATTAAACTATCCAGGAGAGGTGGCTCTGCAGCCTCTTCTTCAAAACCTCCATCCAACTCACAACCTCCATAGGTAGATTCTTCCACAGTTGTACAGATTAGAAGTTTTTTCCAATATTTCTAATATTTAAACAAAATCTAGATAGCTGCAACTGAAACCCATTATTTCTGGTCCTAGTTTCTGGGTCCATGGAAAATAGTTCTTCACCAACATATGCCAGTAATTGAGATGCACGTATACTTTTCTTTTGAGAGGGCCGTGGCGGGAGAGGAGATAGATAAAAGGTGCTACCAGACAAAGGTGCTGCCATTCAAAGGACAAGGTTCAGCAGTTCCATCTTTTGCTCCCTAATTGGATTGGGGGGGGAGTGTCGGCTTTGGCTTGTTTGTTTTGAGGAAAAGGAAAAAAATAGAAGGAATACTGGGAAAATCCAGGAGATTCATAAGTGGAAAATGTCATTACCCGGATTTTTTTCTGGTAACAGAACTCCCAGTTTGTGTGAAAAAATGATGGAGGTGTGAGTTACAGAAATGAAAGACTGGGTAATACAAAAACCTGTATGCTGTTAGAGGGTCGATTGACATCATCCCTTGGCCTATTTTCTCTCTCGCTCTCTGAGACTAATGTGGCCACAGATCTCTTTATAAGGTCTGTGAAGCTGCTCCTCACCAGGTCCCTGCCAGCTTGTCACATTCAGACAATCTTTAATTCTTGCTCACCTTCCTCTGTATCAGAAACCTTCTCACTGTCTCTCATTTATCTGAAATTGCCTTAGGTGCCCTTTTGTTCCCCAGGGCTGGCTTTCTATTCATACCGTCTGTATCTTTCAGCAGGTGGCAGAAGTCTGTGAACCTTTGGGCTGGCAGTAATCCATCTTCCCATTGTTCTGCCCTGTGGAAACACCTCTAGACAGAATGGCCAAGTGCCCACTTCTCTCTTTTATCCACTTTGCTTTCTTGTCCTTTTCCATCTCAGATCAGTAGTACATGTAGCAACTAATTCTCATTGTAATTCAAATGTTACTCTCCCTTTTAGGCTTTAAGTATTGCTTCCTCCGAGCAGCCGTCATCATGCATCATTGCACGTATGTGTGCAAGTGTTTTGATTGCCACTGCATCCAAGTAGAGAAGCTTGGTGAAAAGAAACTTCTCAGAGCTTTGCTCAATTTATATTAGCTGCTGCCATTTTCTGGCCAATCCGTTCCACTTTTTTTTCACACCATTAAGTAATGCAGTATCAGAATCAATTGCCAAGATCTGCTTTCAACTTTTTAAAAATCAAGCTTGGAGAAACACAGCTATTTCCTGCCTCAACTGCTTCACTGAATTAATTAATTTGTACAGAACAAGGCTTACCAGGATTAACCTAGACACTGATGTCACTACAATTCCAGGTCATTGGAAAGAATAGCAGAGGAGGGTGAGAGTGAAAGTCTATTCCATAATCAATTTGTTGCTGTGCTCCAAGATGCCACTGAAGTCTCAATAAACCAAACAAGGTTACCCAGTTGAGATACATCTCTTTGAGCAAGTCTGAAGCATCCTTATAACTGATTAATACTAAACCAGGCTTCTTCAACCCAATGATCTCCAGATGAGTTGGGACAGTAACTCTCAGAATCCCCAGTCATCGTGGCTACACTAAACAGACTCATTTGCCCCCAAAAGGTATTAGTTGAGTCAACCTTTAGATTAAGTTATATAGTATCTCGGAAGACACAAATGGAAATATTGCATTTTAGAAATCATTTTAGAAATTAAAGCACTGTGGAGTACCATGGACAAGTTAAATTAGATGCAAGTACATCGGATGTGTGCAACTGACATGAAGATTTTTATTGAACAGGAACCTACAAATCACATATTTGGGGCAGAGGATTTGGGAATAAAGTTCCTTAACCATTATCCTACCAGCACTTTTACTTTTAACTCCCCCCCCCCCCACCTCCTTCTGGCCTCTGAAGTTCCTGATATTTACTTACTGTTTATTCATGTAAATACCTGGTGCTCATTCACTGTCTCTCACTAAGAATATTAATCAGAGCCTCATGTACTGTAACATTTAGCTTTCCCCTGAGAGCTTAATTTTAGAAAAGAGAGAGATTTTGACAATTATTTAAGCCCCAAAGGTTTTTTGCTTGTTGACTTCCTTATTTTAATGACTTGTAGATATGTGAACCCTTCAGCATCCTTTTGCCTTTTTCCATATTCTCTTTAAAAACCTGCCTGTTTCTGACTGAAGGTTCTGTGTGCAGCTTTGTTCTCCATACTGCCTTTGTTCTGAAGGGCATGTGAAGCAGGAGGAGAGCCTTTGTATCTTGGGAGTGTTGTAATCTCCTGCTGCTGATCCCCCAGGTCTTGGTTTTTGACATCAAAGATATTTGGACAGCAACAGTGACATCATACTTAGGAAAGGCTCTACTGAAAACAGCAGGAGCTTCTGAAGGAGAGAGAAAAAGATGTAGGTAGTTAGAACAAGAGGAATGTCCTATTGTTACTGATAGCTGGTTACCACCATAACTTTCTCAAGAAGAATAAAAAGAGCCGTCTCATTTCAAAATGCCATGAAGGAAAAGCTCATGGCTCCATTGTTGCCAGGCAGAAGCTGCATGAGGTGCAAGATGACTGAGTGGACAAGAAAGAGCAAGGGATAAAATTCTTGAGGAAAAAGGTTTTCTGTAAAATATATGTTCCATTATTATAATACATAGCCAGCACATTTGGACAGCGTCAGGTTGGAGAAAGCTGTCATAATACTTCCTGCTTTCAGTTACAGGAAAGAAAACCTGTAACAAAAGGGGAGCATGCAGATTAAACAAGATTGGACTGTTATAGCTGATATAAATCTTTGGGACTAGAGCTGGTTTGTAAAAAGAGTGCCAGGACCTCAGGAGAAACAGCAGCTTACCTTACAGCCTATCCCCCTAAGCGTTGGGCACCTCGGTAGTCACCTCAAACTGAAAGTAAGTACAAATGACAGGGAGTCTTCTTTAGCAAGATTATCAAATGAAAAGGATAGTTGCACATGGATTTTGGTCTGAACGATTTCTCATTTGGAAGCAGTTTATCTCTTAAGTCATTAGGGTAGAGTGTTTCATAATTTCTTTCTAATGGCAAGGAGCCTTGTCTTTTCACTGATAACAGATGAGTTTGGAGGGGACTATTTTCAAACCATCTTTTGAATCCTCATCAGCCTGTGAACTGACCCTTGCTTGCTATTCAGATACATGTTTTTATTTCTATGGCTGGCTACAAACTGGCAAACCATTACTTATCTTCAGCCATCTTGGAGGAAGGAGGAGGCCAAAAATAGTAGCTCATTGCCACTACCAGTAAGCAAGCTGTCAAATGTAGAAAAGTCTAGAGAGAGAGTTACTTGATATGGCTTTCTCATCACAACATTTCTCTGGAGTTGCATACAGTCCCGTGGCTGGATTCAGGTCATTCCAGAAACATTTAGAAACTGCAATGATGTAGGATAGAGAATAAATATTGACATGGGGTGAGAACTGTTTGAGGCACAGGGGATCCCAGCTCTGTCTCCTGACCTTCAAGAACACCACATCAGCAGCAGAGGCAGGTCCAAACCTTTTAACAACCTTAATGTGGGGTTGTTGCTGTTGTGTTTGAATTCCACTCCCACCCTGCTTCCTGTTTTAGAAAAAAATATGCTGCAGATTTTCAGAGCAGTTTGGGATATCTTTCATTGCTTGGGGTTTATAAGTGAGAATAGAAAGAGTTTGCCACTCACAGGCCTTCTGCATTTGATGCTGCCCTTAATTTTGAAAAGAAAAAAAGTACCACCAAAAATCAGTAATTGGGTGCCAGATTTGTTGTTGGAATCTCAGAGTGCCCATCCCAACCTATACTTTAATTCCTCATTCTATCCAGCAGTCGAGGCTGGTGTGGTTAGTACTCTACTGATCAGCCTGTTCCACACAATTTCAACTTTCAGATATTATGAAAGTAGTAAGGGATACTCCACTACAATCATGTTTATCTCCTACATAACACTGTCTTGCTTGTCAACCCAAAGTCATCTGAGATAGGTGTGTCAGTTTGTAGATTTTCCCCCATTCTTTTATTTCTCCATGTTACCTTGATTATAAGATTATTCAGTGCTGAATGCATGATTTGCACCACATTAATATGCAGTCATATAGCAATTTGGAGAATTTTTGGAGGCAATTCAGTTTTAATGTATTATGACATTATCATGGAACCACTGCTAAGTCTGGACAACTGCCACTCCCACCCTTAAAGTAGTCTCCCTATAGCCCAAGCAGTACAGTAAAGAATAAAACCATACAGCTGAAGCAGTTTTTAGTCCACAGTAGATCTCAGGGTTGTAGCAACAAAGTCCGCTTGGTTTCTTGGAAAGTTCTGCTTTTTTCCCCCAGAATTATTAATTAAAACTGTCACTTGAATCAAAATGGTGGAAGATAAATTATTACATCTTTCTAGATCAGCTCTTCGACATTCAGCTCTTGGTGACTGTAAATATCTTGGCTTCCCTGTTTACAAAACTGAAGAAACATAATGGCACACCAAGTCATTTATTGCTGATGAATTTGCTGTAAATGAAGAGAGTCAGAGAGAAACAGATAAAATGTCACACATAACTGTAACTTTCATAGGGGGACTGCTAAACAGACATGGGAATTGAGGAGGCAGATGCTGCAGAGAGATGGAAAACGCTGTAGGCAGTGAGGTTCACAGATGTCAAGAGTTGGACTGGGAAGAGATCTGAGCAAATGGGCAGGGTGGATGGACTGGACTGGTGGCTAGAGAAGCAGGCATGGCTCTGAGGCCCACAGATGTGCATTTTTAAAATTATTATTATTGTTGTTGTTGTTGTTGTTGTTGTTATTATGCCTTTGTCAGTCTTGACTCTTGGTGACTGCCTGGACTAGTCCATGCAGTTTTCTTTCAAGATTTTGGAAGTGGTTTGCTCTGACCTTTTTCCTAGTGATGAGAGTGACTGGCCCAAGGTCACCCAGGTGGTTTTGTGTCTAAAGCAGGACTAGAACTGATGGTGTCCCAGTTTCTAGCCTGGTGTCTTAACCACTACACCAAACTGGCTTACAGATATGCATAAACTGGAGTTATTTATTTGTTTGTTAGATGTATATCCCATCTTTGCTTTAGGAACTCAAGGCAGCATCTATAGTGCTTCTTCTCCAATTCTTCTCTAAAACCACAATCGTATGAAGTAGAGTGGGATGAGAGAGTGACTGACCCAAAGTCACCCAGTGAACCCCCATGGCTGAGGGCAGACATTAAACAGGGTCTCCATGATCGTATTTAACACCTTACACTACCCCATACTTTCATTATTGCTGTTGCCGTTGTTCCCAGCTACATCATAACAGCCTTCCTGGAAAGGCACTTTGGGGTACAAAAAAGAAAATCATGGATAGAATGCTTTTTTTCTCTCAATATCCAAATTCAACTTTAAAAAGAAGGGAGGGCATTTCCACACAACATCATTTCTATTCCCAAGTCCCTCCAAAACTGTTTGAAGCAGACCTGCTGATCATCTTCACTTCTGCTGATCTCAAAATGGAAAGGCATTGAGTCAAATTAACGCTCTCCTTCCAACTGACCAATCGGAGCCTGTATAAGCCTTCATTCAGTCAGAACCTGTCAGGTCTTTGAGGTAGGCCAGGTTAAGAAAGAGACACTGTAGGGATTCCAGGAGTGCTCCTTTATTACTGTAGAGTATATTAACAGAATCTTCAAAGCTTGTCCAAGTTTCTCCTTATCCCAAGTTATACTAAAAGTTATACAAAAGCAAGGCAGAATTATTTTGAGTTTCTTTCTCACGTTTCCCTCCATCCCTGATCTCTGTAATCTCTTTCCCAAATCCCTCCTTAATGGCTTGCTTCTTCCTTCCCCCTTAACAGCTCTCCTTTCTGTTAACCACTTCCTCATCCCCAGGATCAGCTCTAAATGCCCTGGTGCCCAGACCACTGTCTCTCCTGGAGTAGCACAAGGTCCCTCACTCCTCCCCCCCCCCCCCCCAAAAAAAGAAATTAAATCAATTGCTAGTAGTCTCATTCCATGTTCTCAGTACAATTTAAATCTTTTTGCCTGGTTATTTAAAACAAAAATCTGAGAATTTGTAATGAAGAGAGAAGCTTTCTAGCTACTAGCTGCTATTTGTTATAATTGTTGTATATGTTGTTATTTGCTGTAATACAATTGTTAGCTGATAATTTGTAATTTCTCTCATGTTATACCTGCATCTATATAAACAACCTGTCTTCCCATCTCTCCCCCAAACCTTATCCCAATTTAAATCCTACATTAGTCTAGTCACTCTGTGCATCTGATGAAGAAAGCTGAAGCTCACAGAAGCTTATGTCTTCCAATAACATTTGTTAGTTGGAAAAGGGGCTGCAAGATTCCTGATTTTTGCCACCATAGACTAACACAGCTCTCCTCCTACAATGTCTGCCCTCTGTAGTTTCTGTTTTGCTGGAATTTAGATTTAAAATCCTAAGAGCAGGGATCTGTTTTTCTTGTGTTTATGGATGGATGAAAACAGAGATTGAGAATTTAAAGCATCAAACAATTATTTGTTCTAAATATGAGAAGAATATAGTTGCTCACTGAAAATGTATATTTATTCAAGTAACTAAAACATAATTAGAAATGTTTAAAAATGGACTCTCTGGGCCTCCACCTGCTTTAGCTGTCTCAGAAGTGAATCATTTCTTGAAAGATATGGGAATTCAGTTTCCATACCACTTTCCATGTGTATCTCTCTGTGAACCCTCTATGTGTACACATCTACCGTGAACACTATAAATTAGTATTCAGGTTTTATACAGGCTAAAGGATGGATCGGAGGGGAGGGTTGCAGATGTTTCACTCCATCTCCCAGCAAATCTTCCTCAGCAGGAGGGGTGGCTGCTATGCAGTATTTGTAGTCATGTAAGATCTGAACTTGGGGGAGTTGGTTGGACACTGGAGGTTTACTTGGAAGTGTTGATTAGTTGATTGCTGGGAATGGTGTTACCTCTATTTTGATGGATCCACCTTGTCTGCTTGTTCTGTGTGGCCTGGATTAGGCATCTGATTGGGTGGTAGATCATATCCAGTGAATGTAGCAACCCAGTCAGGTGCCTGATCGAAGCACGCCAGTGACTGCAGGCAGTTGGTGGTGTGGAGGAAGAGGAGAAGAAGATTTTACACACACCCTGTCAAGTTAAAGAAGTAGGTGATGGTGCTAAAGCAGTTCAGCTGAGTTGAGTCCAATCAAATTGATGTGGCTCAAGGCCCTCCTCAAACATGATGACATGTATTGGGCTTACCTCAGTAAATCTTCTGGATCTCAGATAAGAAACTGTTTGGGAATGATCCAGTCAAGATTTAGTGAGCTTGAGCTGCCTCACAGCCTGCATCAGGTGTGCCAAATTTGCTTGGATTAAAAAGAGGGCTTTGCCCTGAAAATCAATTCAAAAGTATCGTGCCAAAAGTTTTTCTAACATTAATTGTGCATGTGTGTGTGTTTTTTTTTAAGGCTATTATTTTGAAATTCCTTCCATTGGCGCTATCCGAATCAACACTCAGGTAAGAAAAGACAGAGTGTGAGTTCAGTCCAGAATGTTTCATTTGTGATGGGGATTGGGAGGCAATATTGTAGAGCTAGAATTTGGGATTTCTTTTTTTTTCCTCACATCTGCGTGGGAAGCAGCACTGAGGCCCGCAATGGAAATTAGAAGAAATTGCCATGCACTTTTTTTCTGCAACCTCAGTAGAACTAGAGTGCTGATTTTGAGTTCAGTCCCATATACCTGAGAATGTGAAAGAGAGATCAATTTGTAAACCACCTCGCTCACTAGAGCAGTGTTTCTCCACCTTGACAACTTG